TTCCAGATCAGTTGAAGTACATAGATCAAAAGACTGAAGTAAACTATGTGAGAGGTGGATACACCTCTTAGATGAGATTGCCCCCTGAATAAATTTTTGAAGGTGGTTATAGGTTTTGTCATCATTGACACAGAAAAATATGTTTGCTGCAAGATTTGCTGTTGTCAGTCGTGACAGCACTGGTTTGTCTTCCTGTTTTCTCTAATTTTTCTTAGGTTTCCTTCACAGCAAGATGGAAGTGTCTGTCCTCACCCTGCTTTTTCAAGTGGTAGCTAGAAAGCATTATTCATCCAGTGGCATAAAAGAATTTCTGGGCAAGATTTATTTCCTTGAGGAATGTGCTTTTTGACTTGTGTTTAAATGTGCTAAGTGACCTCATAATTGATCATGTTGTTTATATGGGTAACACTGCAACTCTTCTCCCATTCACAGAAGTTGTCTATCTCTTAGGTAAAATTCTCCCTTTTTTCTCCCAATCTCAGAAGGCCAAGAGGCTTCCTAGTTGCTTGTCTACTTCTTGTAAAAGGAGCTTGCATTATATGGGGATAGATGATTTTCAGGCTCAGTTCAAGCGTTTAAACCAAATTGCTGTAGGGCTTGCTGTCAATCATCTTTTCCATGTGCTAGAGATGATCAGTAAAATCTCACTAAACCCATTTTTATGAAGGCTTTTACAAGAGCACACACTCCACAGCCATCTGTCTAGGGAATCCAGTGGTGACTTACATCAAATTTATCAACTAAATTTATTGTCCAGTGTTGATAAAGAAACAAATGAAATGTACTGTTGTCCCTGCTATTGAGAAGCCATTCCTGAACCTTCCTGTTCATGAGATGCTAGCTTGCAGGGTAATTTTGTGTATTTCTGTTCTTCAGCCATGATTATCATCTAGTGTAATGATTTCTTTCACCACTGATGCTCATATCTTTGTGTTTTAGTGGGTATCCATCTCATTTCTTTCAATATTTGATCAGTTACAGTAATTGAGAATTCCCCATTGAGAGATGGATTGTTTTGCTCTTTTGGTCACCCTTTACCTCTTTCTGTGAGAGTTTATCTTTTGTGTGGGCGTGGAGGAAGAGGTGTTTGAGCAAAGAAAATCACATATAGTATTTAAAAAAAATCATGGGAGCCTTTTATGTATTGATATAAATACACTCCATTCTCTCCTGTAAAGACCTCAACTAGGATATCTAATATCAGATTTACCATCTCAATTTTCTTAATTGTTTTGTGGCAATCCAGTTCTACCATTTGTCGCTTGCACCTGATGACTTTTCAGTCTATACTAGAAATTCTTGGTTAGTTTTAAAGTGCATTAATTCAGATTTTGTGCTATTGATTTAATCTTGTTCCTGTTACTCTTTGTTTACTCAGTAACAGAATAATAAAGTAGCATAAAAGCTTCACATTTCTTTTCTTCCTTGGAAATGCTGCCTTTATTTATTCAGATAATTTCATTCACACTCATAATGTTGACACTGAGATGGGTTTTATTAATAAGCACAATACTTGTTCTTTGGTAACTCTTCAAATAGTTAATGCATAGAGCTACTTTACCTTGAAAGGTGTCCCATTGTCAGCTGCCACTTCAGGGTATTTTTTCCCCTCACTTTGGATGTATTCCAGTTGTCATCTTTCCCATCTGATGAAGTACTTAAAACTATTTTAAGGTTGAAATTTGAACACAGATCTTCTGCTTGAATAGAAAATCAATTATCAGAGAAGAAAGTCAGGATAGTTAGTTTTCCACACATTTTTCTTTATGTTCATTGTTTCAAAATTGGGGTTTTTGCATGCTTTGGATTCACAAGTCTCCAAATGTCTCCTTTGTGTCCCTTTTTTGGATGTATGTGATGTATTTGCTAATTATCTGATACCACCTCTGAGCTTTGCTTGTCTATGACTTATGTTAGTTTTTACTTTCTTAAGCATGAGGCATTTCTTTTATCTGTGTCTTCATTCATTCCATGGTCACTATCACAATTAAAAACTGAGGTAAAACATTACAGATTTTTTTTTCTTTGTTTTGTGGTATCCCACTTTTATTTGCTTATTTTTTTATACTGTCTTGTGCTCTTTCTCTGGCTAGAAAACCTTTACTCTTTAGTTGGATTTTCTATGCAAAGTCTACCTCAGCATGACTACTGACATTTTACATTTCCAAGGCTTCAAGCTTCTATACCAATACTGTTGCCAACTTAACTTTTTTTCAGTCATCAGAGACTTTCACATAATGACCTTTCCCTGAAGAGAAATTCACTTGTGAGGGAAATTCTCAGAGTGTGCATCATGGAGAACTTATTGTTCATCGGGCAGTTAACAAATTACTAGCAATTCTGCATATAGCAGTTATCCATCTGGGAATCCTAGAAGGTGTTCCATGCATCTTGGGCTACCCAAAAGCATAATTTTATACTTTAAATTGTGGCATCAGCTAAGAAGGGTGATAAAGAGGCTTGTAAAAATCTCTTGTTAATACTTTTAATAATAATCATCATAATCTGTTTAGATGAAAGCCATTGTACAGGACAGTCAAAGTTGCACAGATGTTGATAATTCACTATGAAGTCCTTCTCAATGTCTTTCTGTCTAAACTGCCTTATGTGCTGCTACTGGAAGGGAATGTATTGTAACTGAGACACAGGTTATCAGCATTTTACCTCAAGTTGGGTGTGATGGAACTTAAATTTTAGAGGAACATTAGGTTAAAGTACTATTCAAATACGATGCTGTGTTTATTTACTTATAAATTGTAGTAGTTGCAGACCCTTTTTATGTTCCGGTTGCTATCTTGTAATAGAAGATATTGTCAGGTACAATCTGGAATATTTCAATTACTAGGACAATATAGTAATTTCTTCCTTCTAACTTCAGACTTAAATCAACCAAGTCTTCAAACTGATTTGCTCTATTGAAGACCTAAGAAAAGAATATTGGTATTATGTTCCATTTATATGTTCTGTTTGTTTAAAGTTTATACAGCAATTTGCTGCAGGAAAATTGTAGATGATGATTTACCACATCCCTGAAGCTGTCCATGTGGTTATAGGTAGGGCTGAAATGCACATTTGCCAGAGGTGTTTATGGTGATGCATGGACATAACAATCATGTCATATGAAGGTGCATCACTTACATGTTAGGTGTATGTGGCATGTGTAGGAGGTAAATACTGACAAAATTCTAATCAAATAGAAGTTGTTAGGGTAGGTGGAAGATTCAATTATGATGAAGTAGTTTTGCTATGTCACTGTAATTTTCACATTATTGCATTCCACCTGTCTGCTGTAATGAAAATAGAGTTTCTGAAGTTCCTCATTTCTTTTTGTCTTAGATTGATACTTGTCTTTGAAACTTGTCTCCAGCTTGCTGTCTTTTGATTTCCACACCTGTGTGTTTGGTTCTGCCCAATATTCCTTTCTGATCACATCTTTCCAGTGCTTTTAGAATGACTTCCCTTATCTCCACTCTTCATGTACCTAAGAGTTACATCTCTTCAGTCCCTGTGGTCACCTTCTCTCCGGCAGTAGCATGTTTCTAGATGAGATGGTTTTTAATGTAAATCTGACCAAGTTTGTGGCTCACACCCATCCCTTGTACCTTACATTATAATTTTTGACCTCCTGTAGTAGGTGTGGAGCACCACTGCAAGTCTAGCATAGCTAGAGCAGAGCTCTCATTCTTGATGTGGTGTGTTGGACTCCTGGAGCCAACATTTCCTTGGTCTCTCTCGTGCTGCTGAAGCATTGGCTGCTGTGGCATGCAGCCCTGATGGCCAGAATGTAACAAAGAGCAAGTCTCACAAGGAGCTGCTGAGTGAACTGGGCCTGTTTGGCATACAGAAAAGGAGGCTAAGGGTTAAGGAAAGAAAGAAAGAAAAACAAGAAAACACTTCCTGAATGGTAAAAAAAGATCAAAATTATTTCATGTACTGGAAAGCTGGAATACATTTAAATAGCTATGATATTCTTTAGATTTCTTGTCTTGACAGATATCTGTATAGTCAAAAGATAATTTAAAATCGATTTTTTTCCCCTAAAATAAACATCTCAGGTCTTTTTCTGTAGGGTGAAAAAATGGAAGACTCATTTTTCCCAAATGCATCTTGGAATGTATTCCATTTACAATTTTGCCATTAGAAATTGATTACTGGCAATGTATATACTAGTGCTGCAGATGTAAGCAATTTCCAGATAAAACAGAAATTATCAGTTATTCTGGTGACTACAGTGTGTGTGTGGGGGAGGGGGGGGGAAATGATTCAATGGAAATTATGTTTTTGGGAGTACTACTTGACAACTCCTCCTGCACCTAGTTTAATCTGGCAGAAGGATGACTTCAGCAGCAGTGCCTGCTTTAATATGCTGTCTGATTAGTGATGAGACCTAGTTTTTTTCAGGCAGGCAATAAATAAATATGGGATTATTTCTGGATTACAGAATAATAGTGAAACAACCAGTAGGAAACCCATTTTGATAAACTTTTCTTTGGAAACACCCTGTTTTCTGAGAACAACAGCCAATGAACTTGAGGGCAAGTGAGATAGGGATCCAAAGCAAAAGAAAATTATTAGTAATAAAATAATTATGTGGTGATCGAGAACTGTGTTGTCCAGACAAAGAACTGGACCAGCTGCACAAACTTCATTCTGGCATCCTCAAATCCTGATGTTCACCTTTTATAAGAAAACAGTTATACTTGTGTGTAATAACTTTTTAAAAGAAAAATTCTGATGGCAAGTAGGATGAATAGGTGGGATGGGCAGCTCTGTGCTGAGTGTGGGCAGCTATATGTTAGAGCAGCAACCCATGCCATGGAGGCTGTGTACATCCTGATTTTGGTGTTTGGAAGATAATGTGCTGAATTGGTGGTGTCTTTCCTTCTAGGGCCTGTTTTAGGATGCCTTGTTTGCTGTTTGACCTGTTTGGTGGTTTTGTTGCTGTGTTTGCTCTTCTTAACAAGCACAGAAGTAACAAGAGCTTCTCTGTTTCTCTGCAGCTTTTACGAGAGTTGAAGCACCCAAATGTGATTGCATTGCAGAAGGTTTTCCTTTCTCACAGTGACAGAAAGGTTTGGCTGCTGTTTGATTATGCTGAGCATGATTTGTGGGTAAGTACAGATTTCCCTGAGTATTTGAGATTGTGCAATAAGAGTTTGTTCAAACTGGTGTGTGTGTGATGTTCCTTCATATAGACAGAGATGTGTTAATTTCTTACTCTGTAATTAAGGGTCTAACTGATTATCCTGTTACTTTTACACTTTAAAGCCTGCCAAAGACTACATAGATTTTTTTTCTTTTAGTCAGATTGGGTTTTGAAGTGAAAAGGATTTTTCTGCAAGCTTTAAATTGGAGTTAAAGAAAGCATTCCTAAATTGAAATCTTCTAAAACTGTGTTTGGAAATGTATTTAATACTTTTTTCCTGCCATTTTGCGCATACACATACAAGAAAAAAAGGAGGGGGACTGCTTTGAGTCCTCTCACTGAGAGTGACTGCAAGCAACTAACATTCAGTCATCTATATTTTAAACAGAGAATTTGTGACAGTATGAGTGGAAATAAAATAACAAGTAAGCTAACTGGGGCTGCTGATGGACACTCATTACATGGAAGAGGAGTAGAGACTTAGATGTCTGTTTTTAAGTTTCTGGAAAAATATGATAGGCTTTGGTTTAGGCTGTTGTAGAGGTGGACATCAGTGACATTGTGACTTGAACTCAAAAATATTCAAGCTCCACATCTGTTGATAAGATGTGAGTTACTTGAACCTGGATTTGTGTTTAAACCTGAAAGATATCAAACACAAAGTGTAACCAATATGTTTATTCCTTTCAAAATACTGGCAAGGAGAGGAGGTGGTAATATGAATTCCATTATTAGTTTTGAAGGGTTCAGTAATACAGATAGTGTTATTACAAATGTTAGTGACAAATTGCTCAATTTCTTCATACTTTGCTTTTTAGCTTGTAATTGACCCAAGATTTTAATTGGACAGAAAGTAAACTTAGACCATTCAAAAAGACACTTCTGTCTCAGAACATGTAAAATCATGATAATTTTCTCCCCTTCAAAAGCTTGAAAGATATTTTATTTATTTCTATTATGGGCTAGCAGGTTTGTATTTTGCAAGTTCTCTTTGTCAAAGTTCAGTGGACACTGAGAGTTTGTGTATTTCATGTAACTGGTGGTAGTGATGATGAAGAGAAGTGCATTAGCTAAATCTCTGTATGACAGACTTTTTTTGTGCATTAAAGGAGTTTACTCATGTTATGGAACAGTCATAACAAACACATTTTACTGCTACATTTATTGCCATGTGTTTTAAACACCTTTTTTCCTAACATTTTCCACTGGATTTTACTTTGGGCATGTGGTTTTTACACTACATAGTGATTTTTCACATGATTTAACAGCTTTAGAAGAATCACTGCAGTTTGATGTTCTTGCCACTCCTCCCATATGGCTGGGTATTGGATATAATCTCAGTGAAGTTAATTATTTTCTAAGACTGAAATGTTTGTTACAATGAGGTACTTGATATGAACTGGTCTCCCACTTCCTAACTCTCTTTTGTTTTTATTTTTTTTCTATGGGACATGCTACACAAATCATTTCTCCTTTCCTGTATAATTGCCCATGTCTCCTTGCTTCTTAAGCCTTTGCCAGGAATTTTTTCCTCCCTTGCATAAAGTTTGCCATGTTCAAGGCACTCTTGGTTCTGGCTTAACCTTGGTCCTCATTTCCTTTACTGTCAGCACTTCCCAAGCATCGCTCTTAATTCCCCTTTTGTCTGTTTTGCTCACTCCCAACTTTGTGTCTTTTTCCACGCTGCCTCCTACACATGGAACAGCCTCCCAATTAACGTACGTAAAGATCCTTCACTATCCTCCTTCAAAAACCTCCTGAAAATCCATTTATTTTGTAACGCATTTCAGTAATACCAACCACTTGTCATTCTGTCTGTGTTGTGTTGTGTTTTGCATTTCCTGTGCTTTACAGCTTGTGCCCTTTCAACTCTTTGGGGTAGAAATTTAGTAGGGGTTTAGCACTTTTTAAAATTTTTTTTATTGCTTAGTTGTTAACTTTTTATTTTTAAAGGTCAAAAATTTGTTTTAAATGCCAGAGTTCCTGCTGTCTTATCAGCAAAAGAATAACTTCCTTTTTTATTGGAACTTTCATGGACATTCTTTATCACCCTAGTCTTATACTTCTAGACAGTATACTGCTGTCCAGAACTTCCTGCATAAAGCTAGTGCATTTAAAGACATCATTCAAATTTATATCAAAAAGAATATGTATATATGCTTTAAATCCATGATGATTACTAAAATGGACTTCAGGAAAAGTTTGATATAAATGTCCTGGAGGTGAATTTTTTTTTGCAATCTAATTACTTTTAGCCACTGTAGAGGTTACACTATTTTGAACTTTTCTTTTGTTCCCTTTAAAAGCAGATTTCTAATATTAAAAGTATTTACTAAAGCACATGTTTATGGTCCCACAGATAAACGCACATTTGATGACTTCAGTTTCATAGTCTCTAAACAGGATTTCTGATTCTAACCAACATTTTTATTATAATTTTTAAAATTTTTTTTTGTATTGACAGGTTTTCTATATACCTTTCTTAGTTATGGTACAGAGTTAATTCCCAGACTCATTTAGTATGTGTATATAAAGTAAAATTTTGAGGTTCCCCTTTTCTGGAAATATATGTTGTAATTTAAATAAGAAGCTTCTAGATGGGTTTGATCTCATTCTGAAAAGAGGGTGACATTTTTATCATAGTAAAAATGTATTAAATGTGTTTTATAGCAATAAAATCCACTGCTGGTTCTTAATAAGTGCATAAATAATTAACTATGATTAATTGAATGTGATGATACATTCAGTATCCCAGACCAGTTAAACCATGATCTGTGAATTTTTTAGGTTTGGTTGAATGTTTCTCTCTATTAGATTCTGGTGATCTCTAGCAACTAAATGCTTAGCAGCAAATACTACTTAGAAACGTGGAGTAAAATTAGCCTTGGAATTATTGTCGATAATAAAAATATATGGACAAACTGGCTTTGTTTTGTACTAATTACTTGTTATGGATATGTTCTGCTTTTAAAAAATGTAGGATAAAGATTATTAGCAGTCATGAGTACTTGAAAATAATCAACAAATAAAGGAAAGGAGAAACTATTCTTCCTACATGTGAATTTCATAGTACTACTTGATGCTCTCAGTCTACAAATAAATATACTTAATTTCAGCTAACAACATTTTGAATCATCTTTTATGATAAATTAAATTGGGAGAGTGTTGCATACTGATGTGTACAATAAACCTGTACATTTGTTTAATCACATGAATATTGTCTAACAGCTGAGTTTTAACATATTCCTTAAATATGGTATAATCAGTTATAATTCCTTCTTCAACAGGCTTCAGTTTAGCTCTTAATCATAAATATAATTCACATGCTAGTTGATGACAAATATCTTTATATGCATAAAAATACTTTTCTCAGTGTAACAGGTTTTTTAATATTTTGATTTTGTAAGTCATGTCTACCCTTTTGGGGTAATCCAGGTGATTCTGCCAGGTGGTTTTTCACGCAGTCTTCTCTCTTGTATACATATGTACCAATATAGGCTGGAAGAAGAGTATAAGGTTTGTTCAGACTCAAGGGAATGGGCTGGCATAGGTCTTTATGTCATGATTGATTCCTTCTAAGTGAATTGGATGGGGTTTTTTGACCATCAAAGTGATGGTTGAATTTCTTGCAGAGGGAAGTGCCATTCCTTGCCCATAGCTGTTTGTCATATTCTCAAAACACACACTTGCTTTTTCTGCCAGACTTGTATGAATTTGAGGGTAGTTCATATGGGCTAATTTCCTACACCACAAAGCATGAGAAGTGGAGGAAACAATAGGCAGGAGCAGGCCTCAAAACAAGGCAAGGTTCAAAAGCATAAATTTGTGAAAAACTGAACAGTGATATATTTAACTTTATGTACTGAAAGGGTAGCTGAATTCTGATGATTTTTATTAACATTGTATAGAGTTCTTTTGCAATATTTAGGGCCGAAATATACTATAAAACCTAGAAAGATGCCAGCAAAACCTTGGAAAATTATACGATATGTGTTTGTGGGGATGTGTTATATGGGATGTATTTGATCTGTGTTTCAAAGATTAGATATGTAAGCAAGCTAGCATTAGCAAAAGTTGATGTATTAAAGTTCCTTTCCCTGTTACTGAAAATGTCTACCTCTTTTCACTTGGAATAGGATCTTTCATTAGGCAGTTTGGTCAATGACATTTTAAAGAAGGTACTGATGATGGCTATGCACTAGCACCATTTAAAGGGAACAAGCATACTTTTCCCCTTTCTCTTTTGAAGGATAGTTTATTTTAATTGCTGTAATGTTTCCAAAATTGGAAACTAAAGTGGTTGCTCTAGAGGTACTTCTATCCACTTCTGTTTTGATTTTATTTTATTTTACTTGTGGTAAGTACATTGACAAAATTTTCTTAGTTTCTAAAACTCTGATGTCTGAAATTAGTTGTAAATGTAGGCATATCAAGCTATGATTTATTTTTGGAACAGCAAACAAAGTACTTGGGTTCATTGGGTCTTTCTCTTTTTGAAAATCACGAAAACAATGCATGGTTAGTTTTTATACCACCTTAAGATTCTGATTTGTTCTTTCATACCCTTTTGGAATGATTTACATTTAAAGTAAATTTAGTAATTTGAGGTGGTTTTGTGTTAAAAGTGAGACTGGAAGACATATAAAATAAATCCTCTTGGCCTTAGTACAGATTTTACATGTATCCAAGCTTCCCTCTCCTCAGTATTAAAATGTAACTTTATATTTATTGGCACATTGACATAATTCTGTTTTGTTCTCAAAGGCTGGATTAGGGATTGGATAGAATGCAGGGATTTTGCTGAAGCGTGGGAGCATGTTTGCTTCAGCAGGGAGAGGCATCTGCATTGGCATGATTGCATCTCAGTTTGAAGGAGATGCATTTAATTCTCAACAAGCATTGCCTTAAGCAGTGGAACACAAGCAGTCAGGTTTTCTAGAGGCTTGTGTCTGTGCATTCTCATGTATGTTGAGGTGGGAGCTCACTGTAATTTCATTTAGTCAGAAATGCATAAAATCCCTCTGTTAGCTGGCTTCCTACTTTTGTGAAAAGTTTCTAGGCCTAACTTGTTTGTTTGCTTCTTTTAACTTCTGTCACACTGAACAGCAGTCCTTGGAATTGGGAATGGGATGACACAGAGACTTGGAAGCAGACTAAAATTAGGATCTTATTGAATGCTCACTTAACTGCTGGGTAAATCTAGGGATTTGAATTTGCTCTGTGTTGTTATGGATTATGTTTGCCTTGTTTGTGATGGAGAATTTACAAAATGGACATAGTTCTTCACTAGCTGGCTTTCAAAGCAATTTCAATGCACTAGGTAACATAGAAGAAAGCAGTCAGACTCCTAGATAGAATATTGTTTGATTTTATTTCCAAATATCTAGCTTTGTTTCTCCTCTTTGTTTTTTATCATTGATATGGTCTTGCCTTTGCAAGAGCTAAAATCTTAGTGAAGTCTTACTAAAGTAATGTGGTTCATCCAGTTTTCCTTGCAATTTCATTACACTTTTTAAAGTTGAAAATGTGGAATAAGCAGTTAGTAAGCAAAACCAATAGTCCCAGATATTGCAAGCAGAAAATTTTACCTTCCTTGCTTTCCTAGGCTTCTGTTGAATGTGTGCTTTAATATCGGTCAGCGAAGTATTAATTTAATTTAGAATAAAGACTAAAAATCACTTCTACGAAGTTGCTGTCTTGTTTAAATTAAAACCAAAGTATGTACAAGCAATAGAAAAATGTTTACATTATATTTAATATTTAATAGTGAATACCTAATTGGCTCACACTATTTTTGGGATCCAGTCAGTTGCAGCATGTTTTTGAGATTTAGGAATTAGAAATATGGATATACAGAAAGGGAAAATGGTTACTTTTGCTAAATAGATTTCAATATTACTTGGAGTTATGTTTACCTCTTATGATATGTGTTCTTTTGTTTTGAAAGATTTTAAGTTTATTATCAGAAGAGAGCTTGCAGTGTTCTAATGAACTAATTAAAATTAATTTATGTCTGCATAGCATTGTGGGATGGGTTTCTGTTCTGTAGAATGCAGCTGGTATAGTGTGGACTGACAATAACTTTCCTCATTAATTTTGCTGAATGAGTCTGGGTGTTTTCCAGCTTTCTTGGCCAGGTGATCTATTAGGATCTGTGGCAGCATGTTTTTAAGATTTAGGAATTAGAAATATGGATACACAGGGAAAATGGTTACTTTTGCTAAATAGATTTCAATATCACTTGGAGTTACGTTTAACTCTTATGATATGTGTTCTTTTGTTTTGAAAGATTTTAAGTTTATCAGAAGAGAGCTTGCAGTGTTCTAATGAACTAATTAAAATTAATTTATGTCTGCATAGCATTGTGGGATGGGTTTCTGTTCTGTAGAATGCAGCTGGTATAGTGTGGACTGACGACAACTTTCCTCATTAATTTTGCTGAATGAGTCTGGGTGTTTTCCAGCTTTCTTGGCCAGGTGATCTATCAGGATCTGTGAGTTATCTTTAAGGAGTTGCAGTGAAAAAAGACACAGGGAATACTGAAGATTTTTGACCCTCTGCTTATTGTCTTGTTACAAACGTGCCTCTGACTTGCCTGGATTGTGGAAGTCCTCATGTTTTGTCCTTAATGGCTATTCATTAGGGGTAAGATTCAGCAAAGCACTTGAGTGTACCTAAAGGTTACAAACTGCAGTGTCCAAGTGCACCTCATGCTCCCTAGAGAGAGAGACAGAATGTGCTTCATACCTGTCATGGATCAGATTTATATTCAACTCACAGGATAGTCTTAATTGTGTGCTATTCGGCAAAAAGAGATATTGAATGAGAGAAGTGTAGTTTTGAAGCCTGGTGGTTAGATCAATTTTCTGGGAAATGGGAAATGCAGTCTGTAATTCCTGTAAATTATTCCATGCCTCTATTAGGTCTAAGGTTCTGGCTGTTCTGTGCTGTACTTGAAGCAGCACCTGTTTGCTCTTCAATTTCTTTGATGGACACTGCCATTAAAATTGCTGTTTAGTGTTTGGTAGGTGTGTTGTTCTTTCTTCATGTGGCTAGTTGCTTACAAGAAATTGGATGTACTAATTTTTTTAAGACAACTTTTCAGTGTAGGGCTTGGTCACAAACACTGTGGTTCATTCCAGTGTCATGGGGCAAATCTAGCTTTTCAGTTCCCTATACTACTTGGCCCTGCAGTATATTTTTAGCTTTTGTTCAGCTCTCTAAACTGTGATGGTTGCAATCTTTTGGATATAAACTTCCATAGAGTAAGCTGGCAACAACAGGTTTTATTTGCTTTTGCAGGAAATTGGATTTTACCTAGTGGTGATATTGCTTGCTTCGAGCAAAACTATCCATTTTTATTTGCTTCTGCAATTCAATAACCCTTTCAAGAAAGGAGCTTGTTTCTTTAGCCTTTCTAACTGGGAGCCACATGGGAGGGGCAGGGACAGAAATCCAATAGCATCAACCTGGTGCTGTCTCACTCCCCACTTCCAGAGGTGGCAGAGCCAGAGGCAGAGCCACATGTGTTGTTCCTCCTCAACACATCTGTGTTTAATTGTGTCCCTTTCTGTCTCATGAGACTCCTTCATTTTCTCTGTGCCTAAGGACTAATGTTTTGTGTGGGTAGTAGATGGTTTTTAGATGGGTGTAGAAATCCCTTCTAGTAATTACATGTACCTTGAAAAGGGGCAGGACTGGATTTATAGGCCTCTGTGTATGACCTTTGCCTTTTGGTTCCTATGTATTTAATTTTTATTTCCTGTAATAATAAATATACTAATTTGTGAGTTTATAAAGCATTATTGCTTTATAAATCATATTGTAATTACATTTGAAGGTTGCTATCCAGTGAGCATTTAGTACTAGGGACTCCTAGTTGAAGTTACGAGACTGAGTCTTCTTGTGACATCACAAGAAAAAATTTTCTAAGGAAATAATCCCTTAAAGTATTTCAATACAGTTTCCAGAGTGATTGCACAAGTCAGTATCAGGTACTAACAGCTCGTCTTGTTTATTGATCCTCATGAGCATATTAAAAAGTGACGTTCCTGTAAATTTCTACTGTGTTTTATTACGAAGCCATAAATACTGTACACTTACTAGTGGAAGGCTCTGTGGGAACATTGTTGATAGGGAGTAAGCAGGATGTTTTGATTCATTTGGTGTTTTCTGCCTTTCTTACTTCTCTTTAAACACTATTGTTTACACTTTTGCTAAGTACAGTTTGACAGTGGCTACGGTACTGCTGACAGCCAAAGGTAGCATTTACCATGAGTAAACATTAACTCATTACCATTGCCATTGGGAGCAGTAGTGACAAACTGGGTGGGGAGTGGGGATGGTGAAGGAGGGAGCAGTGGTCTAATTAAAACACAGCCTTTGGCTACCTCTTTAACCTGGAAAGGGAGAAGATCTTTAGCTAGACAAATAATATTTTAAAAAATAGGTAATTAATAGTCCTACTCTAGCATTTTGTATTGTTTTCAGTAAAAATGCAAACTGCCTTTTTCATTTCCACCTTTCAAAAGACATAATTGAAAATGATTTTGTTATTTGAGGTGCTTTGTTGAATTGCCTTCAAAAAGGAGCTCATTCAGATGGGGAAAAAATAAACATATTTAGTCATTTGCTGAATGACCATATGTTAAGAATGGATATCATTCAGATGGGGAAAAAATAAATTTTTGCTGAAATAAAATTTGCTGAATGACCATATGTTAAGAATGGATTTGTGCCCTGCATAGCCCCACTTTTCTGAGGATTGAAAAGGTAGAATGGCCTGACTCCGGTTTATTTCTTGTACAGTGTAGCAAGACCAGACCCAACTCATCGTCTCCACATTGATCTTAGAATTAATTATTTTATGACTATTTCATGATCTCTCAGCAATCTTTCAAATTTTTTTTTCATTCCTTCAACTAATACTGGGGTCCTTTACTGCATTCCATGTTTTCAAGTGGTTTTTTGTGCTCTAGTGGGCAGACTGACTTCTGTAATCCAGGAGCCACCAGCTTGTTATCATCAATGAAGCATGCAGCCATAAATTGGGAGCAAGAAGATAACCATTTATAGATGTTTGAATGTGATTTCACCCAAATGTTGTGGTGTGGGGGCTTTGGAGTTATACCTTCCCCCCCTTCAAATAGTTATTAAAATATTTATTTAATCTGTCTACTGGGATCCTGATGGGATGAATAGTAGTTGCAAGCCTGGATGTTTTTGAAGAGGAGGAGGGAAAGTCTCTGTGAAAGCATAGAGTGTTGTCCTCCTACTGGTAGATACTCCTGGTTTGAAAGGTTCTGGTCTAGCTGCCAAGGGTAAGAGGATGCCATATGGGGAGAAAGGAGGGAGGAGAATGTCTAAGACCCTTTACTGGAGGTAAGTAGCCAGTATTTAGATATTTAGAAAAACTTCACAGTTGCTCTTTGAAGCAACTCAGAGAATAAAAACAATTTGGAGAGAATTGTGAGTGCATCACTATTACTTTAATTCCAAAGTTCAACAAACTTTGTATCTCATTCCATTATTTAGTGTTAGTAGTTAAAAAATCCCAAAACACCCAACCTTCTCACCTATCTATCACCTAACTTTCTTCATGTTTCTACTTGTTTTATTTCTAGCATATTATCAAGTTTCACCGTGCCTCAAAAGCAAATAAAAAGCCCATGCAGTTGCCAAGATCTATGGTTAAATCCCTACTCTACCAGATCCTCGATGGAATCCATTACCTCCATGCAAACTGGGTGCTTCACAGAGATCTGGTAAGTGTGGCATGTGATACCTGCCCAAGAGAGTTGCACGTGCGTGTTGCTGGCTAGGACAAGAACAGCCCCTGGCAGTAATCTTGCGTATCGATCCCTACAGCTCTTCCTGTTATTGTTGCAGGAGCCCAGTTGTGACTTTCAACATGAAAACAAACTATGCTTTCACATTGTTTTTATCTGAGTCATCTGAGCTCGGACAATGATGCCAGATCCGGTAAAGGGATTGCAGATATCAATATCCAAAAACAGTACGTGAGACAGCTGATTATATGTTGGTTGAACATTCTTACAACTTTTCGCATGACTTTGAAAAGGCATCTAAATACGAGAGTGATTGATACCCTTTTGCATTGTTTGGCTTACGTGCAACTTAGCATAAAAGCTAGTGAAAGAGTAGTTTTTTCATGGAGTATTTCTTTTCCATGTGGTATTTTTTTCTGACCGTGGGAAGAGAACTATAAAAGAGTTATCATCTTGAAATTTCTCATGACCTGAAGTAGCTCTTGAAGTTGATTGCAGATTACAAGGGCAGCCAGTTGCCTTGTCTCTAGTTCCACTTGTCCCCTTAAAGTTTTCCATTGCTCCTCATAATTACATGAAGTGCTACTGTGGTTATGAAGAGAATACTAATACGAGTGTGCTTCCACTTGCATTCTAACTAGAATGCAAATGGAAGCACACCCGTATTAGTTTGGCATGAAAAAATGTGATGATTAATATGCCAAACAATGTTCCTAGGTATGGTAATCTGTGTCTGAAGTCACTGCTTTTATTTTGGTTATTTTTGATTTTTCATAGTTGCCCCAGTATGTCAAAATAGGAATGTCTGTGCAGAAACTTCCAGTCACTAATCATTGAGTTTTTAATAGAAAGTGGGGACTTGAATTAATTTTTGGTTGTAGACTAAATTTTTTTTAATAGATAAGTATACTATAAGCCAGGCCTGGAATACAAGTCACAAACATTTTCTGAACTGAATTTTATTTTTTTTTTTTTGTAATATGTAAAACAGTGGTCAGAGCAGGTTTCAGATTTTTGTTATGGATCTTTTTTTTTTAACTTTGTTCCTTGGTTGTTTATCGTTGGTTTTTCTGTTAAATTCCAGATGTTAGTATATTTGGGAAGGGATAGGGGGTGTGGTTTGCCTTTGGAATACTAGTCATGACCAAAAAACAGGAAGCACATACAACTCTGATTTTCACGTTACAATTACTACTTTCCTAAAGAGTCAGCTGCTGCTCTGGCAGAATGCTCAGCTGTGATTAGCTACAGCTTGAGAAGGAACACCTGGAAAGTCTATATCCAGCTCTATGGGAGACATACCTCTTCATGGAACTGTTAATTACGCACACACTTAAATGCCATACATGAACTCATTATTTTGATAGGAAATACAAGATGGTATCTAAGATAATAACAACAAATAGCCCTGAGAATTTTGTGTTATTTTCAGCCTGCAGCACCAGGTGTTTTGTGTGACTAGTGCTGCTGCTTTGCAGTTCTTACCTGTTGCTGATGAGTTGCAGTAAAGCTGTTGACTAATGTCCTTGTCTTTTCTTTTGGAATGTTGGGAGATGATGGTTGCTGTTGTGAAAAAGACTATTTTTTTTTTGGTTCTGGAATGATAGTGCTTGAATGATGTTGACATAATTGAGAAGGGAGAAGAATAGTAATTTGTGAAGTCTTAGTGTGTTCTTGGTCTGCAGATAAATGTAAACTGATGGATTCTGGGATGTCTCAGTATGACAAAGGAAACCATTCAAAAATTGCTTTGATACACTAGTGATTTAGAAGTATAACCAGAATCCTTTGCCTTTTAAATTTCTTTTCTTCAGAAATCCAGAAAAGTTCAGGTATGTCAAAGAGTTATATCTTGACCATGGTAAGAAAAAACCTGATGTTATCCTGGATGTGTCCTTGTGTCTGCACTTGAAAGTAGAGGTTAATATAACTAGCAACAAATTTAAATCCTGGATTAACCAAGATTTTTTTATTTATCTATAATTTTTATTTGTATGCTCATGCTTGTGACTTTTTGCTCCTAAGAATGATACCTCGGGCACAATTTCACTGGAATCAGTTTCTTGCATAATACATAAATACTACCTCCTCAGTGTCTGTCCTGGATTAACCAAGACTTTTTATTTATCTGTAATTTTTATTCGTATGCTCATGCTTGTGACTTTTTGCTCCTAAGAATGATACCTCGGGCACAATTTCACTGGAATCAGTTTCTTGCATAATACATAAATACTACCTCCTCAGTGTCTTTTAAGATGGGGAACAGGTTTTGGTGGTTTTCTCATAGCTGTTTGGATTTACAGCTGCTGGAAAAAGTATTTTGCTATTTTATGTAAACCAAGTTTTGCATCAAAACACCTTGTACTTTCTTGGTTTAATATAACTCTGTTCTTACTATTTTTAACCTGTATTTGGATGTAGACCAAAAAATAGTGACATCCATAAAAGTCATGTTATGCTTATTTCATTGCTCAATAAAATTAGATTCTCCAAGAATATCATAATATTAGTCAAATTCTCCTGAGCCATGGAAATGACCTCTGTAATTTATTTAACAAATGCTGTGAAGAAACAGAAACCTGGGAGGTTAACTATTTGCTTAGAGGTATTTGAAGAACATTGTTTAAATCTTAATTTACTACTGCCTTAAATCAAAGAGGTTTTTAAAGAAGTTGGAATGCCAAGTTTGTTACTTTAAAACCTTAAAATTGCTAAGATATTTTTAGTTAAATCATTTTTAAGATTAACCAGCAAGTGCATAACAGGGTGATAAAAATGGTGAACAATGTGAACTTGCTGACTTGAATTCCATGTCCTTTCCTTGGGCTGAGCTCATGGATGGCTGTTGCCACAAGGACACAGTCTCCTTCCCCTCTTCCCCTCCTGGCAGTGACACCCCTGCGAATGGCCTGGCAGGGACACTCACCTGGCTCCTGGTGAGCTCATTCAGGGAGTCAAACCACACAAAGTGTCGCAGAAAGCTTTTCACCTGCAGAGCTGGTTTTCTGCAGGGTTAGGTCCTGAAGAGACCTCACTGGGGGCTTAGCTGGGTGTGCTGGAGCTGGTGCAGAGGCAGCGTGAGGTGGGAGGTGGTGGCACAAAGCTCAACAGAGGCCATTCCAGCATCACCTGTCATTAGATCTGGTTATTTTAGTGCTAAAATGCACTCTTTTGATTCTTAGGAGGGGGTGCAAGTGTTCTTAAAAGATTAAATTGGTATAACTTTGTAATGCAAGACTTAGAGCAGTTTAAGACTGCCAATGCAAGTCCAGCTTTAGGAAAGTGCTCAAATTGAGGCAAACACCAAATAGACTTGTACTCATGCTTCTAGAAAGTGGAAACTAATTTAGTGTTGTGTATCTTTCAATTTTTTGTAGTATTTGGGTTATTTTGAGTCTGGCTTTTGTAGCCTAAGAGTAGCTGTAAAGTGCTAGATTACTTTCTAGGTATTTTTTTTTTTTTTTAGCTAAGCTCTTAATTTCTCTCAGTTAAAAAGGTGCTAAATTACTTTCTAGGTTGTTTTTTTTTTTTTTTTTTTTAGCTAAGCTCTTAATTTCTCTCAGTTAAAAACCATTCAGCCTTTATGGCAAGATTCAAACAAGTATAGACTTAGGTTGCTGATTTCTTTGAATAGCATTATGCCAGTTTGTACCCCTTGGAGTTGACCTAAGTCTGTGAAAATCCATACATTTGTTCTCCTGTGAGCCCATTTTGAGTAGGATTTTGCTGTTGAATTGCATGTCATTGGGCAATGATAATTTTACCTTTTCAGCATAGCAATGTTCCTGAAAGCCATGCATGAGAGGAGGGAGGATTTGCTGGCTTTGCTAGCTGCTGGAGTGTTTCATTATGAACAAGAGGCTAATAGAGATAAATATTGGATAAAAAACCTTTGAGTACTAAGCTTTTGGCTTTTTAAACTACTCTGTATACACTGTGGGCTGTCTGCTTGAATGGTGTCTAACCAGCACTCTGTACCTTGAGGTAAGAGCAAGCACTTGAAGTACACTATTTCAGAGTGTTCTGAGGTCTTTGTCCCCTCCTCTCCTAGAAGGGAAATATTTAGATTGTACAGGTATGTTCAGCAAAGGTCTTAGTTTACTGAGATGTCAAAAAATGGAGATCTTCCATATAGTGTTTGCAATGTCCATGTTAGCAACTGAAAGGATTTGAGCACTTTCTTGTTCTAACAGTCCTTCTGTAGATTAGTTGCTTAAGGTCAAAAGCAGGTAGAGACCGTCTCCTTTATAACCTGATAAAAACAATTTCTATTTGTAACAGAATGTATTTTCCTGAAGGAAGGTGTTATCTATGGGATGTTTGAAGTGCACAGAATCCATATGGAAAAATTAATTTAAGGTTCCACTTACGTACCTTGGGCATTTCTTTAGAATACTGCTTAATGTTAAAATGAGTGGTTGAAAAATGAATATTGGAAATCAAACTCAACAGAGAAATGCAGATTTCTTCTTCCCCTCCCCAGGGAGTTAAATGGTTGCTCTAAAGATTCTAAAATAGAAAACTTGCTTGTGATGCTCATATAAAGTAACTTTGTAAAATGAGCAAAGTTGCTTAAGTGTTTTTATTATATAAACATTAATCTGGGCACATTTGTGTCCATGTGGGGTTTTCTCAGTGTAACCCATTCTCTCCAAATTAACCTTTTCACTCTAATTTCACTAATTCACTAGGGAGAGGGAGGAGCTTTTTATATTTTTTATTCAACTTTTTTATTACCATCTTGTTGTCTCTTAAGGAAGGAGAAAATAATATCTGTGTTCTATCTGTCTTTGTTTTACTATGCCATCTGTATTGGGAGAAGCTATTTTCATTGAGTGCTTAAGCTAAGCGGTTTCTGTTTCTTTATGGAGTGTATTAGGGAGGGTCTGTGTGCTTCTCCCACCTTCAGAATTTATGGAGAGCTAATCTGGGCATTTTTGGTGAAAAGGCATAGCAGACAATCGAGGCTGACATAA